CCTCTTCTCTATTAAAGATTCCAACTGCATATATATCCAACCACCTGATGTTCTCAATTTAGTTACTGAGTTGTAATTGTTGTTCTTGTTTTTGAAGCAAAGGCTGGAGTGCAGTGACGCAATCATGGTTGACTGTAGCCTTAAACTCCTGGGCTCAAGTGATACTCTCACCTCAGCCTCTGAGTAGCTGGGATTACAGGAACATGCTACCACACCCATCTGGGTTTTAATATATATTTTTGTACAGCTGGAGTCTCACTATGTTGCCCAGGCTGGTCTTGAACTCCTGGGCTTGAGCTCTCTGCCCATAAGAGCTAAACTATATGAATCCCAGAAAAAAAAAGAAGAGTATAAATCTTCATGAGCTTGGATTTGGCTATAAATTCTTAGATATGTAACCAAAAGCATAAGTCAAAAAAAAAAACAAACGAATTAGGATTTAATCAAATTTAAAATACTTTTTGTGTCAAAGAATACAATCAAGAAAGAGAATACAACCCACAGAATTGGAGAGAATATTTGTGACTCCTATATATGATCAAGTCTATTAGCCAGAGTATATAAAGAATACTGATAAATTAATGATAAAATCTCAAATAGATTTAAGAAATGAAAAAAGAATTTGCATAGCTATTGCTCCAAACAAGATGCACAAATTGGCAATGAACACATGGAAACATGTTTAAAATCATGAGTTATTAGGGGAATTTCAGCCAAACCACCGAGCTACCACTTCACACCCACCAGTAGGACTGTGATTAAAAAAACAAAGCAGTGTTAGCAATAATGTGGGGAAACTGAGACCTTCCTACATTGCTTGTGTGAATATAAAAAAGAAAAGATTTAGCAGTTCTTTTAACAGTAACAAACACAATTACTCCAGGGCCTAGCACTTCCACTCCTAGGTATATATCCAGAAGAAATAAAAAATATGTTCTCACGAAAACTTGAATATGGTGTTCATAGCGGCACTATTGACAGTAGTAAAAAAAAAACAAAAAAAAACCCATCTGTCCACCAACTGATAAATGAAAAACATAACCAATTATATGCACACAATGGATGTTATTCAGCCATAAACAAGTGAGGTATGGATACATGCCACAACATGGAGGCACCTGAATACCTTCTGCTTACTGAAAGAAGTCAGACACAAAAGGTAGCCGATTTGATGTGTATGAAATGTCCAGAATAGAAAAATCCATAGACAGCTGACTAGAGATTGGCAGGGTGGGTGGAGAGAATGAAGTTGGCTGATACAGGTAAGGGGTTTCTTTTCAAGATGATGACAATGAACTGAAATTAGGTAGTCCAGATAACGGCAAAACCAGAATATACTAAAACCCACTGAACTGTATCTTTCAAAAAGGAGAATTTATAGAATATGAATTATATATGTCAATACAAAAGAATAAGACTTAAAATTTTGTATTTTGTCAGCCGGGCCGTGTGGCTTACACCTGTAATCCCAACATTTCGGAAGGCCCAGGCAGGATAATCACTAAGTCAGGAGTTTGAAACCAGCCTGGCCAACGTAGTGAAACCCCGTCTCCACTAAAAATACAAAAATTAGCTGGGCATGGTGGCTGGCACCCGTAATCCCAGCTACTCAGGAGGCTGAGGCAGGAGAATCGCTTGAACCCGGGAGGCGGCGCCTGCAGTGAGCCAAGGTCACGCCACGGCACTCCAGCCTGGGTGACAGTGTGAGACTCTGAGGAAAAAAAATACAACACACTGAAAAGTAGTCTACTTTTAACTCAGTTTTGGATTGTTGCTTGTGAAGGCCCTCGCTTAGGATAACAAAAACAAAGGGAGGAGAAGGAGAAACAAGAATAGATACAAGAAATAGAAGCAGCAGCATAAGAAGATGATAAGGAGAATAAAACCCAGACTGGAAGAAAGGAAAAAGAACAAGTAAGGGAATCAGGAGGCCTATTATACCTTTTGTCCCCTTCCTGATTCATGAAATTTGAAAAAGTCCAAGACTAGCCCAACAAAAAAAGCGAGACGACACATATTCACCCCTGAAACTCTGTTAGTAATGACACAATGCTGCCACTCACACTTGGCTCAGGTACAGGCAGGAGGGTGCCCTCCAGATTCTGCAGAAGCAGCAAGGCCTCCTCCTTGCCCTGGCTGTGACTCCGCCGCTGCCACAGAGTCCCACGGTACAGCACCTGCAGCTTCCTACCCACCCCAGGCCAGGCAAGACTAGACCAGCCCACACGCTCCTACCCACCTTCCTAGCCCCCAGACTTACTGCTGCTGCCACCACTACCGCCGATCCCAACCACCGCTGCTGTTGCCCTCGACGCACTGGCCCACCCTACAAGATTCCTACCACCTGGCCACCACCACAGCCCTGCCCCTGTCCTGGTGACAGCCAGCCACCTTCCTACCTCCCTGGAGCTCTGCAGTCTCCATCATTGCCACCAGCTGCAGCGAGGCGAGCCATGGGGCCACAGGCTCCAGCCTCCAGCAAGCAGCAGATGGCTCTTCTTTCTCCTGGCATGGAGCAGCTGGGCGGGCAAAGCCAGAAAAGCCTAAAACAGGATGCAGAGAGTGGTAACATTAGAACCCCACCTGGTCATGCTGGCCACTAGGTGGCAGGGGCCTGTTTCAGCGAAAGCACTCACACCCACCCTCCAAAGTTCAGCCTCTCCTTTTGGCCCAAGCTGGCCAGGAACTGGGGCCTGTAGCAGGGACTGGGGACACCACGGTGCCCAGACTTCCCACTCCACAGGAACCTCTGGGCCCACCCGGGCCGCGCTCCGGAAGCAGGAGCAGCAGAAACTCAGCCCCAGCCAGCACTCCCCACCCAACTGCTGGTTCCGGTTCCTGGCCTCCATCCACAGGGCCCTGTCACCCCGTGGTGTCCGCTATTGCGTGCCCCGGGATCCCAAGTGGTCACAACACAGAATGAGAAGGTGCGGGCCTGGGAACCAGGGCGGGTCTGGGCGCCCTGCCATGCTCAGGATTCCCGCGGAAATGTGTGCCCGCCACGCTCAAGCAGGAGGAGATGGCCCTCTAGAGTCTGGAATCTGGGGAGAGAACCGCTCCTCTCTCAGAGACCACCACTGTCACTAACACCTCTGCTGCCCGCCCCTGGCACTGCAACCCCCAATAGACCTCCTAACCCGCCGCTGGCATTTAGCCCCAGGATAAATCCAACATCCCTCCCACCAACAGCCGGCAGTGTAGCACCCGATGGCGGCCCCAACCCGCCCCTGACATCAGACACTGCAGCACCCGATGGCACCTGCAACCCACCCCCTGCTGTGGGCAGCACCCCGGGATGGCGCCCTCAACCTGCTCTCTGCTGTGGGCAGTGTAGCCACGGATAGCGTCTCCAACCAGACTCCTGCCGTAGGCAGTGACGCCCCAATGTGCCACCCAAACCGACCCCAACCGTGGGCAGTGCAACCCCGGATAGCGCCCCAGTCCACTCCCGGCCGGGAGCAGTGCAGGCCTGGGTAGGGCCCTCAACCCACTCCCTGCCTCGGGCACTGCAGCCACAGATAGCACCCAAACTCCCTCCCCACCTCAGCCAGTGCAACCACGGATAGGACACCCAACCCACCCCTGCCGCGAGCAGGGTAGCCCCCGATAGCGAACCCAACCTACCCCTGCCACAGCCAATACTCCCAGGATAGCACACCCACCCGCTCCCTGCCAGGCAGTGCGGACCCCTGACAGCACCCAATCCGCTCCCCTGCCACGGGCAGTTTATCTCGCCTCCGATACCACCCCCAACCAACCCCGCACCCCCTCTCCACAGGCAGTCCGGTCCCCGGTAGTGCTCCCAACAACGCCCCCTACCTCTACCTCAGTGTAGCCGCCGAGAGTGTCCTGGACACCCCACTCCCTGCCGCGAGCAGTGTAGCACCCTATAGGAACACTAACCCATCCCCCACCACCGGCATTGCGGTCGCCGGTAGTGCCCCCAACCCGCTCCCCACTGTGGGCAGTGAAGCCATGGATAGTGCCCCAACCAGCTCCCAGACGCCGGCAGTGACGCCCTGGATATCACACACTCCACCCACCATGGGCAGTGTAACACCCCAAAGCGCCCCCAACCCGCCCCTCACTGCCCGCAGTGTTGCACCCGATAGCACCCCCGACCTGTCCCCGACAAAGGCATTGCAGCACCTTGTAGCTCCAACTCACTCTGCACTTCGGCCAGTGCATCCCTGGATAGTGCCCCCAAAACGCCCCACTGCCGCTAGCAATACAGCTTGGAATAGAGCCCCAACCCACCCCCAGCCATGACCAGTGCACCCCTGGCTAGCGCCCCCAGCCCACTCCCCTCTGTGGGCAGGGACACCCCAGGTAGTACACCCCAGCAGCCCCCCAACACGGGCAGTGACGCCCTGGATAGCCCACTGCCCACAGCAGGGTGCCCCCAACCCACCCCCCACGCCACAGCTAGTGCAGCCTGGGATAGCGAACCTATCCCTCGACCTTTTTACCTTTCCGGCAGCGCTGGAGTCTCCGTCGCCGCCACCAACCGTAACAGCGAGGCGAGCCATGAGACTGCAGGCTCCAGCCTCCAGCGTGTGCGGCGGTGAGGGGCGGGGGGGGACAAAGGGGGGGGGCTACTCCTCCTTCTTCTCTAAGCCAGCCAGGCACGGAGTAGCCAAACAAGTCAAGCCAGAAAACTCTGGAATGGCGGCACCCTAGCCCTTCGCTTCCTTTATATAGTGCATGCAAATGAAGGGCTTGGACTACATGTTCTGATTGGATGAGAGAAAACCTCTAGGTCTACTCTGATTGGTCTTTATTTTCATGTTCTGATTGGATGAGAGCAAGTTTTAGGCTAACCAATCAGAACATGATAAAGTGCAATCAGGTAGTCCTACAGGTTTCTCTCATCCAATCAGAACATGAAAAACACTTCATTAGCATAACCACGGTATGTAAAAGATGTTAAGGGGGCGTTGTCTTGCCACGTCAGGCTCTTCTGGGTTGGCCCATCTAGCTGTTCGGTGCCCCGGCTTAGCCGAGAAAGAAGAGAAATCACCTGCCGCTCATGCTGGAGCCTGGCGCTTGCAGTACCGTGACTTGCCTCTCTGTTGCGCTGTTACGGTTGGTGGCAGCAAGGGAGACTACAGGGCAGCCGACAAGGTAAAAAAGGTGGCAGAATAGGTTCACTATCGCTGGTTCACTGCCTCGGGCATGGGGGGCAAGTTGGGGGCCCCCTGCCATCGGCAGTGGGCACTATCCAGGGTGTCACTGCTGGTGCTTAGGGGGCTGGTTGGGTGTGTTATGTGGGATGCCACAGCCGGTGGAGGGGAGAAGATTGGGGACCCTATTAGGGGTATGCTGCCCGTGGCCAGGGGTGGCTTGGGGCACTATCCCAAGCTGTACTACCAGCGGCAGTGGAGCATTTTGGGGGCACTATCCAGGGATGCACTGCCTGTGGTGGGGGGTGAGTTGAGGGAGCTATCAGGTGTTGCAATGCCCTCGTTGGGGACGGGTTGGGGGCACTATCCATGACTGTGTTGCCCACAGCAAGGAGCGGGGTGGGGGTATTATCTGGGGCTGCAGTGCTGGTGGGGGGGATGGGTTAGGATCGCTATAGGGTGCTACACTGCTGGCGGCAGGGAGGGGAGTGTTGAGGGCGCTTTGGGGGGGCTACACTGAGGCGGAGGTTGGGGGGGTGTTGTTGAGAGCACTACCGGGGGACGGACTGCCTGTGGAGAGGGGCTGGAGGGTTGGTTGGGGCCTCTACTGTGGAGAGGGGCTGGAGGGTTGGTTGGGGCCTCTACTGGAGCCTGATACACTGCCTGAGTGGGAGGTACGGGGACGCGAGGGTTGAGTGCTATTAGGGGTCCACACTGCCTGGCAAGGAGCAAGTGAGTGTGCTATCCTAGGCTGTACTGGCTGTGCCAGGGGCAGGTTGGGTATCCTATTGGCGGCTACCTGCGCTATCCATGGCTGCACTACCCGAGGTGGAGAGGGAGTTTGGGGTGCTATCCGTGGCTGCACTGTTCTCAGCCAGGAGTGGGTTGGGGGCTATCTGGGGTTGCACTGCCCACTTTGGGGGGGCAGGTTGGGTGCCATATGGGGGCATCACTGCCCACGGCGGGGGTCTGGTTGGGGGCACTATCTATGGCTACACTGCCCGCGGCAGGGAGCGGGTTAAGGGCACTGTCTTGGGCTGTACTGCCTGGCAGGGGGGTGGTCTGTGGGTGCCATCAAGTGCTGCAGTGTCTAAGGCAGGGGCGGGTTGGGGCCGCCATCGGGTGCTACACTGCTGGCGGTGGAGGACTGGGTGTTGGCACTATCTCAGGGCTACACTGCCGGCGGTGTGTTAGGGGCTCTTTTGGGAGTTGCACTGCCAGCCTCGGGCAGTAGAGGTGTGAGTGACAGTGGTGTCTCAGACGGGAGTGGTCCTTATCTCCCCAGACTCCATACTCTAGAGAGTCATCTCCTCTGGCTCGAGGGTAGCAGGCATGCAATGTTTCCACGGGAATCCTGAGCATGGCAGGGTGCCCAGAACCGTCGTGGTTCCCAGGTCTGTGCCCTCTCATTCTGTGTTGCAGAAACAGCCTGGGATCCCCGGGGCATGCAGTAGCGGACAGCACGAGGTGATGGCCCTGTGGTGGAGGCCTCAGGAATGGGCATGAGCACTTTGGTGGGGAGGGCTGGCCCTGAGTTTCTGCTGCTCCTGCTTCCCGAGCACAGCCCGGGTGGGCCCAGTGGTTCCTGTGGAGTGGGAAACCCAGGCACCATGGTGTCTCCAGTCCCCACTCTAGGCCTCAGTTCCTGGCCAGCTTGGGCCAAAAGGAGAGGCTGGACTTTGGGTGGTGGGTGTGAGTGCCTTGGCTGAAACTGGCCCCTGCCACCCAGTGGCCAGCATAACAAGGTAGGGCTCTAATGCTAACACTCTCTGCATCCTGTTCTAGGCTTTTCTGGCTTTGCCCACCAGCTGTTCGGTGCTAGAAGAAGGAAGGAGCCACCTGCCACATGCTAGAGGCTAGAGCCTGTGGCACCACGGCTCACCTCGCTGCAGTTGGTGGCAGCGATGGACATTGCAGAGCTCTGGAGGAGTAGGAAGGTGGCTGGCTGCCGCCAGGGCGGGGGCAGGGCTGCGGTGGTGGCCAGATGGTAGGAGTCTTGTATGATGGGCTGCTACGTTTAGGGCGGCCACGAGGCCCAGTTAATTTTAGTAGAGACGGCGTTTTGCCATGTTGGCCAGGCTGGTCTCGAACTCCTGAACTCAAGTGATCCACCCACCTTGGCCTCCCAAAGTGTTGGGATTATAGACACGAGCCATCACACCTGGCCCCACCTGTAACTTCTATCAATAAATGTTAGTTCAGAGAGGTGAACCAAATCAGTCACAGAGGTGAGTTAATTTGCCCAAACCAATTCACAGAGGTGAGTTAATTTGCCCAAATCACACTTCCATGGAAGTAAGATTTAAGATTTGAATACCGGCACTTTAAGATGAAAACAATGAAATGGTACATTCTAAAAGCAGTCTATAATTTATTAAGTGTTTTCAAAAATATCTGATTTGTATCGTAGCTCTATAAAGTAGGTAGGATAAGCATGAGAGTATTTCAAAATAGCATTTATTGAGGACTGCCATGGTCTAAGCACTTTGCTCAATGACTTCCAGCTGTGGTCCTCCATCCCAACAGGTTGACTAAAGATCAAATATGATTTGAGATGCAAAGTGCTTCATACATAGCCTGACCTAGAGTGTTACAAAATAAAACAGGAATTATTATTTATGCCCTACCTAATTTTAAAGTGAATTAAACTTACAATGATAGATGAGATACTGTAAAATAATGTTATAAATCAGGGGAAAAAAGAGTAAATACAAAACATATAGTAGAGTCAGGGTCAAAGTGAATATGCAAATGCTCACCATAAAGTCTTTCATATTTGTTGTGAGGGTAAGCCACAGAGTTGAATATGAATGTTCTCAGTCACTGTAAAATGAATTCCTGGCAAGTTTATTTGAAGTTAGTGTTTGAATTAATAAAGTGATATCGAGACAATGAAATAAAAGCAAATCAGTTGCTAAGGAGAAATACAGTTATTCCCCATCGTGTAATAGCATAATATTCTGAGCAACATCCTTTACATAGATAAAGCAATTGGTTTCTTGGACCTGTTTATGACCATGTTACTCACCCAGGCAAATGTCCTATTCAGAGTACAAATAAACAAAAGCTATGTAGGATGACACCATGACGGTACAGTTGTATGGCCACAGGGCAGTGGGAGCTTCAGGATCCAAATAATTCATTCCCTTGGACTTGATTTTTTATTTTAAATGTGTGCACTTTTAATATTTAGTTGTATTCTGTGTGATCTCAGTCCTTTAAAATTTGTTGATACTTGTTTCATGGTCCAGCATATGGTCTGTTGTGGTGAATGTCCAGGTGTGACTTACACCAGAGATACAAGGATGGCTCAATATACAGAAATCCATAAACATGATACATCACATAAAAAGCGTTAAGGACATAAACCATGTGATCATCTCAATAGATGCTGACATTTATTAAATGCTTTTTTTCTGCATCTCTTCATGATAAAAATCCTCAACAAACATAGAACATACTTCAACATAATAAAGTCCATATATGACAAGACAAACCCACAGCCAATGTTATTCTTAATTGGGAAAAGTGGAACAAGACAAGGATGCCCACTTTCACCACTCTTATAGTACTAGAAGTCCTTACCAGAGCAATCAGAAAAAAATTACAAAATGAAAGACATCCTTTTATTGAAAACGAGGAGGTCAAATTACTGCTGTTTGCTGGTGATATAAACTTGTATCTAGATAACTCTAAAAACTCCACCAAAAATTCTTAGATTTGATAAATGAATAGGAAAGCTTTAGGATACAAAATTAAGATACAGAAATCAGTAGTGGTGCAATATCAGCTCACTGCAACCTCTGCCTGCTGGGTTCAAGGGATTCCTCTGCCTCAGCCTCCTGAGTAGCTGGGACTACAGGAATGAGTCACCATGACTGGCCAGGAAGTGCCCTTCTATCCCTCATCTGCTAAGAGGACTGTCTAAAAGGTGGGCTTTAGGTGGCCTTTTCTGCCATCTCTTTCTACTACATTCTGGTTCTTTTTCAGTATGTAATTTTCAGTAATTAGTAAATTAGCTGACTGGCTAAATTACTAAACTGCAAATTTAGTGATTAGTAATTTTTTTTTTTTTTTTGGGACGGAGTTCCGCTCACGTTACCCAGGCTGGAGTGCAATGGCTCGATCTCGGCTCACTGCAACCTCTGCCTCCTGGGTTCAGGCAATTCTCCTGCCTCAACCTCCTCAGTAGCTGGGATTACAGGCATGCACCACCATGCCCAGCTAATTTTTTGTATTTTTAGTAGAGACGGGGCTTCACCATGTTGACCAGGATGGTCTCGATCTCTTGACCTCGTGATCCACCCGCCTCGGCCTCCCAAAGTGCTGGGATTACAGGCTTGAGCCACCGCGCCCGGCCAGTGATTAGTAATTTTAATAATTTCTAGTTCCCTGCTGAAATCTATAATCTCTAATAAGCCTACTATCTGAGTCCTGTGGGTCTGTGTCTATTATTGTCTGTCTATGCTAGTTTTTACACTTAGAATTTTACCTCCCTAACAGTGTTTTTTATAACTACGGTGTTCATAATCGTATCATCATGCCCAGCACGGAGGGGCTCAATAAATATACATTTCCAATGTAAAAAATTTTAAATGTGGTAAAACACAAAAAATTTACCATAACCATTTTAAAGTACACACTTCAGTGTAAGTACATTCATATTTTTGTGCAGCCAAACTCTGGAACTCACTAAATCCTGCCAAACTGAAACTCTATCCCCATTAAATAAGCCATTACTGCTCTCTCCCAGCTCCTGGCTGCCACTACTCTACTTTCTGTCTCTGTGAATCTGATTACTCTAGGTCTTTCACATATGATTCCACATAAGTGGAATCATACGAGATCTCTCTTTTTGTGACTAATATCACTTTGCGTAATATCCTCAAGGTTCATCCATGGGCTAGCATGTGTCAGAATTTCCTTCCTTTTTAAGGCTGAATAATGTTTGACTGTATGGAGAGACCACAGCCCCCTAGCCAGAGGGTTCATAGCCACCGGCAGGCGGGGGAGCCGGGGTGCTGCTACTCGCCCTCTGGTGTCGGCTTGCTCTCTGGTGTGGGTGTATATTTTAAAGAGATATGTCTCCTAATATCAACGTCGAGTTAATATGGTTGTATATTTTAAAGAGATATTACTCCTAATATCTTAGTTGTTGGAGAGTATGTTTGAACACTTTTTGATGTTGTTTGTAATATTCAGCATATGTTATTACTTATAATATCAAAGTATGTGTAAAGTATTTGTGTATACCTTGTGATATTATTTGTAATATCTTACGGAGAGATACTATGAGTCATAGGTATGGCCACTCCTCTGTGAAATGGTTCGTAATGTTCAGGGAGAACCCAGGTGATATTACTCGCCATATGGCAGGAGGTTGATATGGGTGTATATTTTAAAGAGATATTACTCCTAATGTCATAGCTGGTGTAGAGTATGTTTGAACACTTTGTGATATTATTTGTAATATTCAGCATGTGACATTACTTATAATATCAAAGTATGTGTACAGTATTTGGGTACACCCTGTGATATTCATAATATCTTAGGGAGATATATTACTTGTAATATCAAAGTGGTTGTACACCATGTATGTACACTCTGTGATGTTAGTGGCAATATCCTAGGAAGAGATGACACTCCTAATATCACAGTGGGAGTACACCATGTGTGTACATCCATTGATATTACCTGTAACATCCTAGAGAGACATTACTCCTCATATCAAACTTAGTTTACATCCTGTAATATTATTCATAATATCCTAGAAAGATATTTCTCCTAATATCACAGTGATATTACATACATTACAAAGGCTTAGTGCTCTGCCTCAGGACACTGGGGTAGAGACCACACATAAACTCTTATTTTGTTCCAATAACCCACAGAATGGAAGAAAAAGTCTGCACAGTAGATACTTCATAAGTGTCTGTTATCCAGAATGTATAAATAACTTTTGCAACTCAACAACAAAGACGATCCAATCTAAAAACTAATGAAGAACTTTAATACAGACTTCAACAGCAAGCCCTTGAAAGATGTTTAACATCATTAGTCATAATTAAAACCATAAAAAGATACCCGTTAACTCACACTAGAATAGTTGTGCTAAAAAAAAAACAAGTGTTGACAAAGATGTGCAGAAGCCTGAACTATTAAACACTGCTCATGACAATATGAAATGGTGCAGCATATGTGTCAAATAATTTGGTGTTTCTTCAAACAGTTATAAATAGATTTAGTGTATGACTCAGTGATTCCACTCCTAGGTATATACCCCAAAGACCTGAAAACAGGTGTTCCAACAAAAACTTGTATGCTCTTTAAATGTGTCACGATCATAAATATGCAGGAAAGTCCTGGGAACAGTGTCAGGAAAACTGGATGAGAATGAAAAAACACACTATACTCCCAGGAGGGGCAGGAGGTAAAAGTGAAATGAGTTTGTGAACTGAATTATCAGGTAGGAACCATGCTGGTTTCCTGATCTAGGGGTTATGTGGTGGTAACCTAGGAGAGTGTCCATGCTTCGGTTAAAATATACCAGAGTATTTTGTGGGACACTGCAAATCTGGTACAGCAATGCTGGGGACTCTAAGAAAAGAAACAGGTTATATTTTGCACTGCTACTGGAAGTTTCCTAGAAGTATGACATTATTAAAAAGTAAATTACTTTTTAAAACAACCATATCAGTACTATGTCAGAAAAGCAGAGACATCACCAAAATCCACTTTAGAGGCTACGCTTCATCCAAAGCTGTGAACCCTTATAAAAGCCTCAATGTCAACAGATTCCACTTAGATATTATTATATTTATTAGTATTAGAGGCTACTGTGTGGATACATTAGTGTTACGGCAAGGTGTGAATGTTAGTGTTTTGCATGGTGTACATATTATATTGGTGTTGGAGAACAGTGCAGATATTACATTAGCATTAGGTCACCGTGTGGATAGTATTACATTAGTATTAGAAGCAACGGTGTGGATAATATATTAGCATTAGTGTATGGTGTAGATAT